CATGTAAATATCTGATATGCAGGATGTATTTTCATTGTTACAAATTGAACATCATTAAAGCACAGTGATGAATCACAAAAACAATATGTAATTATGTATGTGTTTTCCGATGATCTTCGGCGATCCCTGTGAAAGGGTCATTTGACCCCCAGAGGGGTCGTGACCCACAGGTTGAGAACCGCTGGATTAGGAGTTCAGAAGTCCAGCTGTGTTGGCTGGGGCAAAGCTACTTAAGCCTATGATTCTGTTTACTCTCTGTCGAGTGGTCTGATAGTAACATTATTGAAAGAGAAAACAATTCTCACTTGGAGTTGAGAAGAGATACAGATACCAGGCAGAACTCCCAACTGCCTGGAGTAAGGGAGACTCCATCCAATTCTCTGTTCCAGCTCCACTAACCCTGGGTCCCCCTGCCCCTCCCTCACCTCAGGCCACGCCCCTTTCGTGTCTCACCTGTGTTTTAGGATGGCGTCCTCGCTGGTATATCTATACAGACCTGGGAGAGGACAGGAAGAAGCCTCAATGTAGAGTCCCCAGCATCAGGCTAGAGAGCTAACCCCAATAGTGTTCTTTTAAAAATATATATATTTTTGTTGATTTCAGAGAGGAAAGGAGAGGGGGAGAGAGTCAGAAACATCGATGATGAGAGAGAATCACTGATTGGCTACCTCCTGCATGCCCTTCCTGGGAATCAAGCCCACAACCCAGGCATGTGCCCTTGACAAGAATTGAACCCGGAACCCTTCAGTCCTCAGGCCGACACTCTATCCACTGAGCCAAGCCAGCTAGGACCCCCCTATAGTGTTCTTACTGGATCCAGTGAGTCCTGACCCCCTGGAGTCTGCTTCCCTCTCTCACCTGGGCCCAGGTGCACCCCAGCGCGGCGCCGACGGTGGACACACACAGTGGTGCCCAGCAGCAGCAGCCAGAGCAGGACAGCCCCGGTGGCAATGACCTCTGGACGCTTCAACGTTGCTCTCAGCTGCTCCAGGATCCATGGGCCGGGGTCTTTGGGTTCTCGGGTGGCTCGCTCCATGGTCTGCTCTGTATAGGATTTGGAGCTCAGGGGCAGGGGGCAGGGGGAGCAACGAGGGTCGGACAGAGAAGGGGGAAGAGCTGGAAGTGGGGACAAGGAGAGGAAGGTGGGCATTGGGGCTGAGGAATGTGGGTGGGACCAGTGGAGACTGTCCTCACCTAAAATGAGGCAGACGGGGCTACTGGGCTCCCCAGGCCCAGCGCCGGTGACGGCAGCCACCTGCACACAGTAGGAACCTGGCGTTTGGGTGGCAATCTCCAGCTGGGTCTGCTCACCGGCCACTGTCCAGTTGGTTGGGGGCCATGAGGTGTTGCTCAGGCTCCACACCTAAGGACAGGCAGGGTGATCACTGCCCCCAGGCACCATCCCAGCTGCTGGGCCCTTCATCTGCAGTCAGACTCCGAGCCTGTGGTCACCCTGCCCTGGGGTTGACCAGGGAACACTCCCCTCACAACCACCCCCACTTCTCATCCCACCCTGGGCCCTACATTCAGCCTCACTTTCCGCGTCTGTAAATTGGAGATAGGAACCAGGTGGACCGGGGATGAAATGAGACCAGGGAGCTAACTGCTTGGCACGGGCTGGCAGACGCTCACTTAACAATAGTGGGCACTCCTCGCTTCTCTGCACGGGTTCACTTCTCAGTGCCCAGTGCGAGGGCACGCAGGATGCCAAGGGAGAGGGAGGCCTCTGCACCCCTAGGAAGGGGTGTGTCAGCTTGTGGGGGTACCTGGTAGCCACGGATGATGCCATTGTGGTTTTTAGCAGGTGGTGGGACCCACTTCACAAGGATGCTGCCATTGCCCGATTTTAGGGTCACCTCCTGGGGAGGGGCGCTGGGCACTGGGGGTGGGAGAGAGGAGATAGGAATGAGGGAGCTCCAGGGTGAAGGGTGGGATGGGGACACGGGGCAGAGGCCACACTGAGAATAAGCGCTCCGCTTGCCCGACCAGGGCAGAGGGATCCAGGAGCAGGACCCACCATCCCCCAAGACTGGAGTGAGACAGTCCTCCAGGCCCCCCAGACTGGAGTGGGACAGTCCTCCAGGGCCCCCAGACTGGAGTGGGACAGTCCTCTAGGGCCCCCCAGACTGGAGTGGGACAGTCCTCCAGGGCCCCCCAGACTGGAGTGGGACAATCTTCTAGGGCCCCTCAGACTGGAGTGGGACAGTCCTCCAGGCCCCCCAGACTGGAGTGGGACAGTCCTCTAGGCCCCCCAGACTGGAATGGGACAGTCCTCCAGGGCCCCCCAGACTGGAGTGGGACAGTCTTCTAGAGCCCCTCAGACTGGAGTGGGACAGTCCTCCAGGCCCCCCAGACTGTCCTCCAGGGCCCCCCCAGACTGGAGTGGGACAGTCCTCCAGGCCCTCCCCAGACTGGAGTGGACAGTCCTCCAGGGCCCCCCCAGACTGGAGTGGACAGTCCTCCAGGCCCCCCAGACTGGAGTGACACCAGCGGTCTATTGTTGGTCGTGGGCACCTGCCCTGACCTTGCTCAGGCAGCCTCAGGAGCAGCACGTTGCTGTCAGGGCCCCGAGCCCGGCCGGAGGACGGTCTCACTTTGAACTCGTAGGCCCCAGCG